GCTGATGGAGCGTGCGGGTAAAGTTGTTGGCGTATGAGCAAGAACACAGAGACATACAGGGAATAAGTACCTTGTCTGATTATTTTATTGTGACAAAATAAAGCCCACGACTCTTTTAGCAACAATCCGGAGAAATAACTCCGCAGATAACAGTGAGGGTCTTTGAAAAGGGTTAGAAATAGATAAACCCATTATAGATGCATGAATAAAACCCCGTACTCAACACGTAGAAAGCGCATCCTTTCAGCCGTGGAAATACTCGCTCCGTGTGGACCCCTCTCAGCGCCATCGTCTGGTCAGAGTGGTCTATAGCAGATTGGATTGGAATGTCTCGATGGCTCATTTTCCTTTGATTTATTATAAAAACGTATTGCTCACATTATTTGTTACTATGTCGAAATAAGAAGTCGTTTGATTTAAATGTTGTATATATGTAAATTGAATTTAACATAAATAAATAAAAAGACAGCTCCTCCCTGCCTCCTACGACCGCGGTCTGGGGCTTAAACAGGAACGTTTTACAGAATCAATCAAACATTATTTCTGGCTACTTCAAGGATGCACTGGTCACTGTAGGCAATATCTTCACATAATCTGCAGGTGCAGGACGTCCAGAGACCGTTCCAGACAACAACACACACGAGTTTTCAACTGCACATGCGCAGTTGAAAACTCATAATTTTGACTTTTAAAGTCGAAATTTTGACTTTTAAAGTCAAAATTTTGACTTTTAAAGTCGAAATTTTGACTTTTAAAGTCGAAATTTTGACTTTTAAAAGTCGAAATTTTGACTTTTAAAGTCGTAATTTTGACTTTTAAAGTCGAAATTTTGACTTTTAAAGTCGAAATTTTGACTTTTAAAGTCGAAATTTTGACTTTTAAAGTCGAAATTTTGACTTTTAAAGTCGAAATTTTGACTTTTAAAGTCAAAATTTTGACTTTCTGTAGGCTTTTTTTTTTTTTTTACATGGCGGAAACGGGCTTCCATAAGAATATGCTGTGTTGTTTTAGAAAAACGATTGTTTGAAGCTCATATTTGTATAATTTACACCGTGGAGGTATTTTGACCAAAGGATTACTTTTTTAACATGAATTTGGACTTTTTTTTTTTTTAACAAAAAGAGTCCAATATGACTGTATTGAACCAAAGCATTTGAGCAAAGGAAAGGAAGCATTAACTTTCAAAGCATTAACTTTGATCAGGCAATTATTTATCTTTTATTTAATCCAATTGCATATTGGCTTCAATGTCTAGAAGTGGTTTAACAATATGGTTTCCTTGTGAACGTTAGGGTACGGTCACATAGGTTTTCACAAACGAACTAGGCCAAGTGGCCCGGATCGTCGCCACATGGGTGTGAAAACGGGCCGCGGTCACATAAACGTGTTGTCTGAACCGTGCCAGGGAAATTGTGCTGTAGTACAACACTCGGTCCAGCTGGTGGCGCTAATACTAACACCAGAGACTACCTCGTTGCCCTGGTTGAGATCCGCTTCTTTTCCTGTTTACATTCTGCTGCTTTAGCTAACAGCTGCTGCAGCTAACAGCTCGGATCGCGTTGTTTAAGGAAAGATACACCTCACACTTGTCCAAATTGCTCTGATGCAAAGTGCAGCAGTTCAGTGGGTAACATGTGAATGCACAAGTGTGTGTTTGTGTGTGTGCGCCGCGGACTCGAGTGCACACACACACACTCTTTAGCAACGAGCATAAGAGCGCTGAGAAATGAATGAATGAGAATGAAGGGGTGAAAAGTGTGGAGTAAGAGCAGTGCGACCGCAGACAGGGAGGTTACAAGTGTCTGTGTGTGTGTTGGTGTGTTCTGGTGATTAAATAAAGACTGATTCTTGAATGTCTGAAGTGTTGTTGCAATAGCACCACACTGAGAGCGAGGGTCAGGACAGAAGAGAGCTATACCCGTAGGAAACGCTTTTCTTTGGCCTTGAAGCGACACACTCCCCCAGCTTATATGAAAGGTTTAACACAAGCGGAGAATACGAAGTGCTGGGGGAGTGTGTGAAAATGCGTGTCACAGGAAGACGTAATGTGACGCACAACATCAAGTCCCCACCACACCTAATCCCCCACTCCCCACCACCCGCGACACTGACCCCCCTGATCCGCGCTGGGAAGCGGGCCCTGGCCGAAGTTTTGAACCGCGCCAGAGCACGATTCCAGGAATCGAATGCCGCGGTCAGATGGCACCTAAAGCCCGGACTTTAGGCTGCGCATGTGACCGCAGCCTTAGCCTCAGAATGATATACTGTATGACTTGACATGGTAGCCTATAACATCTCACCATTATTTGTGAAAGTGCATAATATTTCTTTCTATACGTTCCTGTTAGCTAACCATGTAAAAGGGGTGTTATTTTTACCATTCCGGGTTTGGATTTGTCCAATTTTCCCATCAGTCTGTTAGCATATGAAAGCATAGAAATAAACATTGAAACATTTCTTTGCAGTATTTTCTCTCATGATGTTTCCCCTTGCTCTGTCTTGATTCTCAGGCTTCTCAAGGGTACCAGTTATACCGCATGTCCATAGCCATGATTTATGCCCCAGCGTTCATGTATTTTTAGACCAATTACTCCCCCTATATCTACCCATAGTTCTCTCCTGCATAAGCCTTTGTTCTTGCAGTGTGGGCCACTTTAATCTAAATATCATCTGTTGGCATAGTTTGGATTTTTCTGGACAGCGCATTTCTGGAATGTTATAGGTCAGGCTTACTCTGCTGCAAATATGCTAATCCATGTGTCTGTCAACTCATTGGTTTGAGTTTTTTAAAAGGAGGCTGTCATTTAAAGTCTTGTGATAATATTATGCACAAGTACTGTTTTTTGTGATTACATTCCCAGTGAGTAATACTATCATTGGTTAATGGTGCATAACTTTTCTGATGGATGTTTTCTGTTTGGGTTTTCCTAAATTACGCTGGAAATCTCCAGATCCCTCATGATGCGATATGTGATACATTACAATACAATACTGTTAAGATGCTCAGGCATCTGAGTGGATAGCATTATCGCTTCTCAACAAAAAGATCCTTGGTTTGAATCCCAGTTGGAACAGACTTCTTGAGTGGAGTTTGCATGTTCTCTACGTGTGTGCAGATTTCCTACCACAATTATCAATATCTTGCTCATATAGTTGACAACATCATGATAGACTAATAGACTTATTCCTTAAAACTGAATATTTATTGAAAAGAAAGCAATATGTAGATCTGTATTGTAAATTCATGTAATGATTGGTACCTGCTTCTGAAGGCCAGTGTTGGGGCCTGTTGGGTAAAAAAAATGAAAATGAATTTTTTTAAATAAATAAAAATAAAACGAATTAATTAAAGCATATTACAAACTGTTTGGCACGGTGGCTGAGTGGATAGCACTTTCACTTTTCAGCAAGAAGGTCCTGGGTTCGAACCCTGGTCGGAACAGTAACTTCAACAATTTTCTGAGTGGAGTTTGTATGTTCTCTCTGTGTCTACGTTAGCCTGGTTTTACCATACCCTCGTACTTGTTTAAAAAGAGATTTGACCGGAGTTTACGGATGGCAAAGGCCAGGCTATGTCTACGTAGGTTTCCTATGGGTGCTCCAGTTTCCCCTACCACTAAATATATGTACAATAGGTCGGGCATGCGCCTCCTGTACTGGCGACATCGCTCCCATCGCTGTGTGAAGTGAGAGACAAATGCCCAACAAATAACAATTGTAAAGCGCTTTGTGACTCTGGTCTGAGAAAGGAGTTATATAAATAATGGTTACATACTTACTGTAGACTTTTATTTAAAATGTGTGCAATTATTCAAGGTTTATAATCATGGAGTGCCTTAAACGTGGTTTTAAGACTCTTTCACTTTGCCATTTCATTTTTAATTTTATGTGATATAAATAAATACTATATGTACAATGCATAAGGAAAAGGGGGAGGTGTAATTGGGACTGAGCACAATGATCGATAGGGATTTTATGCCATTTGAAATAGTGTCTTAATATGTCCATAAATTTGCTGCCCCACACGGGACTGCCAGTGTAATCTGTGATCAATCCTAATCCCGAGCCCAAATTGAAGCAGAGGTCCTTTAATGAGACTGAGCTGCCGGCGTATGTTTGTAGTCTATGTGGCGACTGCACCATTTAACGCGCTCCTGGCCCAAGGGACGCTGGGAATGGAATTTATATCCTACTTTCATATAGAGGTGTCATACTAGATTACAGACCAAAATGACAAGATGCTGATAGTGAATATGATGTGGTATATGAGATATGGCAAAATATGGTAGAATTACTGCTGTAAAAATATAGATGTGTTTTAGAAAACAATGTTTTTTTCAGATGGTCAACAATCAGTGTAAATTATGGAGCCCGCAAACTGATTTCTCATTACAAGTCATTACAAATATTCTTAATACACATCTATTGTCTTTAGTTCAATTATGGTTTTATTTATAGTCACATTTTTTTCTGTTTTTGGGGTAATTCTCATTCAGTACTTCTATAGACATTTTTCATTCATATTTTTAAGATCTGGTTTAGCCAGATCTTAAAAATATCTTTTCTTCCAGATGAAGCGAAAGATAATGGATGAATGGTTGAGCCCAAATAGCAACGTTTCTGATATTTATTATTATATATATCAGATATCATTACGATTTTTTTTGAAACACCTCTATTGAAGTCTATTTTGATGAGGGAAAAGAAAAAGAGGATTTTGCATATGTCTCCCTCTTTTCATATGATCCCAGAGTTGGAGACGTGGATGAGAACTGCCTTACAGTATTGCTGACCTCACATTACTCCAACTCCAACTGCTTTCTCAGTCTCCATCAGCTTCTATCAGACATCCAGACTGTTTAAAAAAAAAAAGACACTTCACAAAGCAATTTGGAGTCACTGATCCACGTCCGCCCAGAATTTGTGTGTCAACAGTATCTGTAATCAACATAATAATGAGGCTGACAGACCTATTATGTCAGGCCGGTCTCATGCACAGAATGCTGATCTCCTCGCCGTTACATTGCACTAAACACAATGGAGAGAGCATCGGGGATGTCAAGATCCTCTACCTTATTAGTAATTAATCAAGGAGCAGCAACATTGTAAATCCAAAAGAATATTGCTGTGGCATTATTAACAGCAAAAATAAGACCTTTCAAATCAAACTCAACTCAAGAATCTTTCAATGTGTAAAATGTTTTATGGATAATCAGCAGCAGTCAGCAGATGGTAACAGCGGAGCAACCACCTTCTATTTGTTTAAGTGGGAATTTCAACCCCCAACCCAAGTTAAAACATGTTAGATTATATAAGCACTCATGCAGTTTAATTGATGCTATTTGAGTGAAAAATGTAGGTGGATACATTTGTGCTCTTCGTGTACAACAACTCCAGCTCTGTGTTTAATTTTTTAAAGAGGGTAATTGTTAAAACATTTAGGACATAAATGCTTTCGTAACAAGTTGCTGAATGCAGAGAATGGAATGAGTACAGCAGTGGATGACAGCTCAGTGGTAAAGAGACATACTCACTGTTTGTCTTACTGACAAAATACAAGAGGTCTAAAGAGTAAGGTGCCTATAGAAAAGAAATCATTCCAACAAGGCAATAACAAGTTTTTACAAATGTATGCTGATAAGTCCCCCCCTTTCTGTCCAAATGCCCCTATCTCAAACATGTTAACTACTATGGTAAAACGTGTGATTATTAAAAGAGAGGAATGTCCTTCCCAAACTTCTACCAGCTGTAGGTGTTTCACTACTGTTTTACATGCCTTGACACATATTCTACATAGTTTCACTTTATAAAACATTCAATGCCAAAGTGAACATTCTCAAAATATCTATTCAGCAAAGTAGTATTTCCATAGACAGACTTTACAAACAAGAACACATTTGAGTGAAGAAATGTTTCTGTCAAGTCTGTAGTTCCGTGTTTATTCTCCACTTTACCTGTTGCATTCACTTGTCACATGTGTTTCTCCGGCCCACTTCAGATAGACTTCAGTTTCCATAGTAACGTCAGAACCCATCTCGTCTCCATGGAAACCTGTTGGCTCTAACAGAAAGCAAGAGCTATAGCGGCTGCAAAGTTTGCACACCGCATGACTTATGAAATATTTTGCATCCACACATAACCGAACATCTGCATTTTCAATCACATTCATAACATTCCAAACATGTGCGTCCTCTGACGTCCTGTCGTGCGGTGGGGAAAACCACAGAAGTGGGCAAAGATTTGAGGCAGACGCCGGTACTTCTGTAGCGGCACATAGTAGAAACTCAGGGTGAATATTATTATAGATCCATGGTAAAGACATATGTTTACAAGCACTGACCCCCGTCCTCAGCCCTGGTTTGATCCTGGTTTGATCCTGGTTTGATCCTGGTTTAGCTCCTGTTTTGGTTGTTTTGGAGCGTGAGTCCACATGATCACTTTGCTGCTCTCTGAGTCAAAGATGCCACCCAAGTCACATAGCACCAGCCCCGCACACACCAGTGGGAGTCGGTGGAGAAGGTATTGTGGTGCGCTCGAACCCACCACCTCCAGGCTCAAAGGCCAATGCTCAACCAGGCATGTTTGTTGCAGTGTCCATAATGTCCGATGCTTTATAATGAAAGCATTATTATTATTACTATTTGGGGCTTTGCATCCCTAAATTGTTGCCAGCCATGTAGATGTTTTATGGACTAGTTATGAGTGCATGAGTGATATGCACTCATAACCAGTCCATAAACTATCTATATACATGTGTATAACAACTTCAAATGTTGGCATGTGTGAAAAAGGCGCAGAAGTATTTCAACGTTGTGTTGATGGGTTCTTCCCATCGGGTGTGCAGAGTGGTTTTAGGTGCTTTTCATACTAAATAATTACATTTCAGAAACTTTAACGGTACATTCAAACACAAGGAAATCTGGAAATCTTCATATCGTCTTTCTAATTGGGGACCACATAAGTCGTAGAAGGTCAGAGAGGATGGAATTGCTGTCCCCGCCCAGTCCATGTCGATAGCTTAATCTGATTGGCTGTTTGATGGATTGGCGGCGCGCTTGACCTATCACAACTAACTGAATTATAGCTCCCACATACTCACCTTTCTGTCATTCCCCATCCCCTCCCTGTGTCTCTGTATCTGTCCATCTCTTTATCCCAGCTCTGGCCTCATTAACTTCCTCACTCTGTTATGTTTGCCTCTTCACTTTTGGCTTGTGCCTAACCAGATTAGCATGGTCTATTGATTAAACCCTGAATAGAACGTGTGTAAATGAAAGAATATTATGTATGGTACAAACGTGTAGCCGCTTGTGGTGCTTTGCTGTACTGCATGCTACTGCCCGGCTTCAAGCATGTTTATAAATACTGTCACCACTTCGCAAACACCATTATTTGAACATAATTACACCATATAGTTAGTGATGTGCAGATGTTAATATTGCGGTTATGGATTTTGATATAATCATATAAAACACACTTTTTTTGCTGCCTTCAGCATTAGGGATACCATGATCAGATTGGTTGCTAATTTGAAAATTTTTCCAGCACTGGAAAATGTCTGAATTGGTGTCCCATGAGCACGACTATTGAATTTTCACCTCTTATAATAATTATAATTAGTTTTCAGGGGCCAAAACTACAGGGCCTTAGCCTCACAAAGAGCCCAGCCACTTGTTCATACTCCAAAAGATGTTGTAATTAGGATCAGATATCATTTTGACACTTTGTGCTTTTGGATAAGACATTTGGAAAAAGGCTATGTTCCCAACAGATGTTATTGCTTTGTTTGATCCAAGAACAGCTCACGCTCTACATGTCAAATCCAGACAGACTCCATAAGTGACAGAGATTATTCATAGGCAAACGATAAGAGTGGATGAATAGCAGCATAATAACGCTCCATTCATCTTAGTTTGTTCACTGCTTAAGTGCATTGGATTGACAAGAAATTGAAGTGAGACAAAACGCATTGAGGGGTTCTTTCGGGTGCACAATCCCCCACGGGTTTCAAAATCAACTCTTTTTTCATGTCTTCAATATTGTGATTCAGACCGCTCGCTGACGACGTTTAAATGTGGGAAAACACGTCCAAATCAGTATCATTGACTCAGAAATCAAAGCACGATTCCCTTTTCAATAAAAAATGCAGTTTGATCTGGGGAACTTTCAAGTGACAGAAAGTGAAACTATAAAACAAAAATCTAACTTGTTCCCCACGCTCAGAACAGTTTAATGCAAACAATACTTTTCATATCCATGTATTTGTATCCTCTGTCACATCTTTTTCAGACAGAAAAGCTGTGGTCTGATTTGACAACAAAGTCTTATCTAATATCAATTATTATGTCTACTCCTGTAAGAAAAAAAAAAATCATTAGATTTCCCCCATATAAACACTGGCTGTCTTATTTTGACTGACGTTGTGTTGTACTTGTGAAATGAATAGGGGTGCAACGGTTTGAAAAAATCACGGTTCGGTTCGTACCTCGGTTCAGAGGCCACGGTTCGGTTCATTTTTCGGTTCATTTTTCTAAAAAAAAGTGTTGTCTTTTTAATAAACACAGCTCATGTGGACTCGGCACCTGCTCTGACTGCCCCCCCTGACCTAGAAATGAATTAAGGGGAAGGAAATGGATAGATGGATGGAAGGCATATTCCATCCATCCAATTATGTCTATTTAACATAATTAATGAAAAACAACACAAAGTGCAACATAAGAAGGCACTTTATGAGGATATTTACCCTCATATATTACACCACCTTCCTGATTCTCCCAAGGAGGGGGTCCATTCTGGGCCCAGCCTCATTCACTGTATTTATTTAATTTTTGGCATTATCAGTTGTGACTGGGATATTAGTACTGGGCCTTTGTCTTCCATTCCTCCGCTGCTTGTGTCAGTACCTGCGCTGTGTGACTGTGTGACTGTCGTAGAGGGGGCGTGTCTGCAGCGCCAGACTTTTCATCTCCCAGTCTGCGGTGATGAAGTGAGCGGTTCCGCTCATGGATCTATTATAGGTTCCGCGGGACGTCCAAGTGTCAGTCGTGAGCGCAGCTGAGGATGCGCGGGAGAGTTGACTTTAGCCCGGTCTGACTGTGCGTAAAGGAGCTGCTTAAATGCCGCGACAATAGGCGGTCGTTGAGACGCTTTTTTCACTCATGTCTTTCTTGTGCCACAGTGCTTACACATCGTGACAGTTTTGTCAAATATTAATTATCAGTGTAGTTACAGTGAAGCCAAAATGCTCTCATACTGGGGATTTAAATGACGCAGGGCTTTCAAGCATCTCCGTTCCTCCGCTCGCAATGACCGCGCTGTGTGTGGACTGAACAACGTGCGCACAACTTTTTTTTCATAAATCAAACCGGATCACGTCTGTACCGAACCGAAGACGTTGAACCGAACGGATCACGGATCAGTGATGAACCGTTGCACCTCTAGAAATGAATGTTTAAAATTTGACATGGACAATTAAGCTGCTAGATTCCATGCCTGACATCTGACATGAGGCAATCTCTGCATGACTTTATAAGATGGATTTTTAACTTTGACCCTGTGCATGTCAAGATTACTTTTCTGCTTTGTCTGCTTTGACGAAAAAAAAAATCCAAACAATTTGTTTTTGTGCTGCCCAAAATTCAAAAGCAAGAACTTTTGATTATCAACAGTTTGTTAACAAAACCGTCACTGGTAAGACAATAAAGAATAATTTCCAAATGTTCACATGAATTGAGCAAATGGGTGAACGCCCTGAAACACTTTCTCTTCAGCTGGAAGAACTTCATAAAACGCTTCCCATAAAATGTGGGATGAGGACAAGGCAAACAGCAGCTAATGTTTTCAACCTCACAGATAATACTGAAAATAAAAGAGTCATAAAGTTAATTTTTGATGCGTGTTGCTACAAAGATCCTTTTTTGATCGATTATTCTTATTTAAAACATTAGTTTATTACCTCAGGTAGGGACAGCTTTAAGGAAAGCTTGGTAATGTGACAAGGAACAAAGGATTTTGGTTTTTTTTTAGTCTGCTGCCTAAAAATCCTTGTCCCATCTTATATGACTTGTAACTCCCACTAGCCTCTTGAAGTCACAAGCTTTAGATGGCACATTCAGTTCTGCACATACAAAACATTCAAGGTAAAACAAGTTTTGTTCATTAATTGTCACCAATTGTAGTAATTGATTAAACGTTTGCTTGCTCTATATAGATATTGTAAATCTCAGAAGCCTGAATCCAGTCCATCTGGGTCATCGGCCCCTAGACAAGTCTCGTTAACTAAAGTGGGCCTCTTAGTAAAACATATGCACATGATCAAATGAACAGTTTTACTAATACAACAGCAGGATAGGTTTTGTTGTTCCACTTTTTAATGTTGTTATTTCTTGTTTGGGAATACAGCATGGTTGTTTTGCATTACTGAAACAGCAGAAACAAGGCAAAAAAATGTTGGGTCATTTTTGTTTGTTGCTTGTTTGTAATATTTATTTGAATGCATTTTCTCTCACAATTTACCTTTCCTTTCTCAAGAGCTATTGATCTGATATGATAAATTGAATAGTATACACATTTATACAGCAGGGATATTGCTTTGCAGCTGTAGACAGACTTTGTTGAGGAGTAAATTATGTTTGTGGAATAAAATATGGTTCATTTAGCTGTAGACACAAACATTTCATCTATACTTGTTTGTCTCAACAGAAAGAGTCTTGGAACTTTAGTGAACAAATCACACCACAATATTTATTAGAAAATATTGTATGTTTGTGTATTTGAAAGAAAGAGCCACTGTTAGACGCTGTAGACTGATTGGTTGAGTGTGGTCCTCTCTTGTTCACTTTTCCTTCTGAATAAGATGTCATGAAAATGAGGCCAAAAATACATACAGGTGAAATCTACCAAAGGTGATGAAACTGATTCTCAGCCAGGAACAAGTTAGGGATCAGCTCATTTTTTCATTACTGATTATATTCATTTCATTACTATTTAATTAAAAAACCTGAATCTCCGAGGATATCACCTGTAAGTTTTCCTGGTGACAAGATTTAATGCAAAATTGGGGAACATTGCAGGCAAGATAACAAAAGTTTATTTCCATAGCACAGTTCATGTACCAATTTATGTTGATTTTTGCTGTTAATGCGCTGGCATTTAGTTAGCTTTCTGTGATGGTAGAATTTAGCTCTGGTCTCAGAAAGCTTGTTCTAAAGTGAATGGATCATTAAGGGGCGAATACAAATGAATACAAATGAACTAGTTATGTTTTTCCCGCCCATTAATTGAATAAAATAGATGAAAAACCCTTTGGTCCCTGGCTTGAATTGTTATGTGTGTGTGTATTGAACCTAAGCCTGTGCCTTGTGTGTCCTGCAGGAGCGAGTGGAGTACCTCTTCCTCATCATCTTCACTGTAGAGGCGTTCCTCAAAGTCATAGCCTACGGCCTGCTCTTCCACCCCAACGCCTACCTGAGGAACGGCTGGAATCTGCTGGACTTCATCATCGTCGTCGTTGGGTAAAGCACTTGGTTTATAATTTGACAATCATGGCAGTTTGAACAATCAATGCTTTCAAAACTGAATCAACTGGCACAACTTTGGAATAGCTTTTTCATACAGAATGGTCAAAAAAAGACAATCACCCTCAGTGGCGTTCCAAGAGTACCCCGGGGCCCCAGGCAACAGAGTCCTTGGGGGCCCCGATACTGACCACATAACCAGATTTTGCAATCCTGCAAAATCTAATCTTTAATTTGGCCCTTGATGTTATTATAGTCTATATAAACAGACTATAGTCTATATATAAAGTATATAGACTATAGTCTATGCCTTGCCTAATGGCAAGGGATGCCTCTGATCACCCTTGCTCAGCCGATCAGCTTCACATGAAGACTTACCAGGCTCTTTCTTACAGTTATGCAAAGGATAGCATGTCTGATATTTAGGTGAAAACATGAGAGTGATCCTTTCTTTATGAAAAAGCTAAGCATCACCAAACTGCTTTGAGAGTGAGGAACATGTTCAAAGGACTTTATTACATTTCGTTGTGTGAATCGAAAGCAATGAAATCTAGGTATCCCAGCATTAAAGCAAATAATACATTAGTATTACATACAGTAAATGAATAATAATAGTTACAGAAACTGTCGAGAGTCCCTCTGAAGTTGAATGCAGCTGGCTGTGAACTTCACATTGGTGAATCTGATTAGCTTTTCCAATGGCGATAACATAAGCTGGGCTCTGGTTTTCTTTATCGGCTAAAGCCTTTGCGCCTATGTGCTCGGCAGAGGCGAGGAGCAGACTGAGAGAGTTTGCTGAACGTTGGAATCATGACTTTCCACACGAACATACACTGCTTGCTCATGCTTTTCTGTGTAACTGTTTCAAGTAACCAAACTATTCTTCTTTACATCTGAGACCACTCCTGTCGCAGTCTGTGTGCAGGGCATTTCTAGTTTGATTTTGGCCCTCTCCCCTAGTGCTTTTTTAGTCAACTACTATCTTCCACATCTTCTCACAAATCATGCTTTGGTTCTTCAATTTTCACCAAAATCACAAAGAAGTGCCTTTCTGCTGCTAACTGGCTACATAAACAGACTGCCATCCACTGTGCATGGGCAGCCGGCAAAAGGAAACACCAATATTGGACAGTGAAGAAGTGATGTACACCAATTATTTTTGTACGCATTACTTACTTTATTGTAAATACCTTAAACGTTCGAAATTAGAAATGACCTCCTGACAAAACCATCACAGAATTTGTTCACAATCAGAAGTCAGTACGAGTTGAGAGGAACCAAATTGTTCATCAAGAAAAATCTTGATTTCTGAAATCGATGCACAAATTAACTACAAAACATAAATGCCATTTTGCAACTCAAAGGCAACTCAAAGTGCTGAACAAAACAAGAAACAATCACTCAAGGCATTATGAATATTCACAGTACATACAGTACAGTACAGAATAAAGATATGCTCTGAAATCCCTCAGTTGTACAGTTTTGTGTTTTTTTTTTTATAAAAACAAATACATTCACCTATACCAAAGGCATTATTACAGTGTCTGCACAATAAGCATTAACTTCAGCCTACACCCACCCCACTGCCCCCTTGCTGTAAAGTTATTGTTATGTGATGATGGATGTGAATTAGAATGTAATTGATATAAACTGAAATCATACTTTAAAGCTGAATTGCGCAACTTTTCTGATGGCGCCCATGACCTGCTTCTTGAAACAAAGATGCTGGAGCTCTTTTAGATCAAACAACTCGTCAATGTTTTCTGATCGGGTCGCCTTCTCATTTGCATATTTCATCCAATGCTGTGGAACATTCTGCGCAAAACACCATTTATTTGGACCCAAGTAAAAATTGATGAATGTTGTAAAGATAAATGTTGCTTATTGGCAAACATCACCAAGCAACATCTGATTTACTTTGAGAATTGGATGTTCACAAGATGAACAGTTTTCCCCAGATTCCCATAAATGTTCCAATATATAATAAAGACCGATTATAGCAATATTTTGATAAATCAATATTATGCCAATTGAATATTAAGGTTTTTTTGCAATTTCAAATTTGTTTATGTAGATGTTTTGATTAATAGTTTAAGGCTCAGGTTTACTTTATATTTTACCTTCTTTGATGTTGTCGCATACATTTTTGTTCAAATGGGGCTGAGCGTTAGATTACTAAACCTTATTGTTTAGACATATCTTGTATCAAATTGAAAGTCCCCTGTGTCAAGGAGCAAGTTCTGAAAGATACCCATCTGAATGTGACAAACATACACTGGAGCGAACAAGATAACCCGTTTCTCTGCTGTGTTGGTGCCAAACAGATCTGACAGCCAGGCTAATGCCATAAGTGCTCTAATGGCCCATGCTCATGTGTGTAAACAGACTCATGCAGATCTGCCCTGGACTCTGTGCTTGGTCAGAGCGGGGTGAGGGGGCGTAGCCTTGGGGTCTGGTCTGTGTGTATGCATGTCTCCGTCTAACACCCCGTGCTTGGCATCATGGTGTCACAGTGTCGCAATCCCCGCAGCGTATACACAACCACAGCCAGTTCAACGCACTCTCCAAAGCTGCTGCTGCTATACATTCAGTTTATTAGATACGTTTTTCCAACATGCCTCCAAAAGTAATATATAAAACAAATCAGTTCACATCATGATGCTTTCATGTCCGTAATCTTTTGCATACTTGTTCGAAGCGGCAGATTCAGCCAAAATCGACCCATACGACCGCTGCATCACTGCACACGCTGCAGTGATCCGCCTGTCAATATCACACTCCATCCTCTCCCCCTCAAGAACAAGACCCTGAGATACTTGAACTCCTACACTTGATGAAGAACCACTCCACCCACCGGGAGAGGGCGAGGCCCATTTGTCCGGTCGAGCACAATGGCCTCAGATTTGGAGGTGCTGATTCTCATCCCAGCCACTTCACACTCGGCTGCAAACCGTCCCAGTGCATGCTGCAGGTCCTGGTTGTGGTCCTTAAACTGTTCTCCCTCCGTCCATATTCTGAAAGTGGGAAAATTGTCTTGACCCTTTTTATTTTGACACGGCCATGTTCAAACAACTTACAGAGCTTTCAGAGTCTCTTTATGCACGATACGATATGAAACGTATCTAGATACAAGGGACTTTTCAGTAATTTGCCCTTTTTGAACAAAAATACAACACTACTGATGCATTTATATTTAATTTACTGAATATTAATTGTTATTATACTTATAAATAGTATGTCATATAAAAAGCTTAATATATTTAAAGTAATATATAAATAAAAATAACAACCTGAAAACATTTTTAATCAAAATTATTATATCAATATTTTTATCTACGTTTTTCATTTATGTGTTTTTTATATTTTCTTTTTATCCCTGTAAAGTGCCCTTGAGTGTCAGGAAAGCATCTCAAACAAACATATATTCTGATTTGCAGAATTGGGCTTACTGGTTGGCTTTAGAGTTGTTGTTTTGAGTTGAGTTCTGTCAGAAGACAAAGTTTTAAAAATTATAAAGATAAAATTCCCTTTTTGACTTTCTTTTCTGATACTCTATACTATATCTATTTGATTCACTATTGCGGCTGCTTCTTTAAAAAAAGATTGCTGATAAGTTTTATTTTACAGTCGTGGCATTTGCGGTTGACCTTTTCACGCAGATATACGCTCAAAAAAAGCCAGTGCCTTCACTATTGTGGTGAAACATGAAGTGTTCTGGTATTAGGCCTGGAATAATCAGTAAGGGAAACACTCCTCACCTTTTTATCATGGCTGAAGATTATAGGGTTTTAGAATGATCCAAATCTAAGGTATTAAAGCTTTCTTAAGGAGCGAGAGCATTGACTGACCAAAGCAAATAAACAGGAGATAAAGGCTTTAAAACGCAAAGATGTTGACTTTTCTAAGGTTCAATCTCGGTTTTTAGCATTTTTCAGATCTTGTTTGATGTCATCTTCTACTGTAGTATGCCTATCTGGTCCTTTTTACCCTTTATTTTTTAGGACACACTATTCTGCAAATTCATTGAGTTTGAGCTTTGAGCCATGTTTCAACATCATAAACAGAGCTGCAAGAATCAATTTAGCCTTGTTGATATTTTGTTTGCCAAATTAGTGTGTTGCATCCCTTAAATGTTTTAAATGGCCTGTATTCAAGGTTGGGATTTAGATTTTTTTCCGGCCAGATTACAGCTGATTTTTTGGAGCTTTATTTTATTTCAATTCGATTTTATTTATAGCCCTAAATCACAACATTAGTCATCTCAGTGGACTTAACCAAACCATTGAAATTGCAAACACAGATCAGAGAATCAACAGTTAAGACACATAAAATAGACATACAGGTCAGAAAAGACTGACTGGCAGCGGACACGAAAATCTGCCCCATTCGCAAGGAACCAAAAAGATTATGCCAAAAAAAAATAACATACTTATTTTAGATATCTTTGGCTATTTTAAAAATAACATTTATAGTTTTACAGATCCTCCCTCTCCCTTTTTTGTTATGTTCTTCATTTTGCCCATTTATGTGAATACAGAACTTTCTGTATGGCACAGAATGTTACATTTTTGTATGGCTCAAAATAAAGTATTATAATTTAGTCTATTCTTTATGTCATGAAACATTTATGTTTTGTCCTCAAAGTCGTGTTCCCTCTATGTCAGGACCCAAAAAGTGATAATGTGCTAAACATAGCCATTCACCAACTATCATTCATGGCAGCAGTGCGCTAGTGTGGATCCTAGACATGCTTTTTCACTGAAGAGCGATCTGGAGAGGCCGAGTGAATCAAAGCGCGAGAGGAGAGGGAGTTTGGAGAGCTCTTTCAAGTGGCCATTTCGTCTGAGCTAATTGATAATTCTCCATGACTAACGTGCCAACCACTGGCCTTTGAGTGGCTCGAGCTGGAAAATGGTATTGTATGCTGATTTGTATTGGAGTGAAGAGATGGGGGAGCTGTGATAAGTGGATGTCAATAAATAAGGTTGTGAGGGAAAGAGGATTAAATAAATCAAAATAGCAGCATCCTAAAATAAGGTTAAGTAAAATTAAATAATTACCTGTAATTGTAAGCTATTTATCGCACCAGTATGAAATATTTTAAATTTCAATATTGATCTTAAAAACAACACATTCTCGTTGTTATTGTAGCTTATCATTGTCGACAACTTCACAACAAAATGCTGACACAGCAGCAGATTTTATTCAACAGTTGTGAATTATTGTCAGAGCAATGGTTGGCTTGAATCCAGTAGAATAGATTACGCCGTTACTCTGTTCTCCAACGTGGAACGAGCTGAATTAGTTTGTGAATTTCTCCAGTGCCATCAATTAAATCACGACATCATACATTTCACAAAAAATCGAATTCCCAATTCTACCACTGCATTTGTCCTGTCCACATATTTCCTACTTATTTCACATTCTATAACATCACATTTTAAACAACGTATTCCCATGTTCTTGTTGAAGGGCCATATGTGTTCCTATTGCGTCTTTTTGTTGTTACAGGTTGTTCAGTGCAATTTTGGAGCAAGCAACGAAGGGTGATGGAGCCACACCGATCGGAGGGAAGGCTGCGGGCTTCGACGTCAAGGCCCTCCGCGCTTTCAGAGTGCTGCGGCCGCTGCGCCTCGTGTCCGGAGTGCCCAGTACGTACCATCGCTACACACACACAAAAGCATTCCTATTAACACCTGCAGTGCAGTGCACTGTGAGCTGTGAGGAGTCTGAGTGGTGTCAAAGGGAAGTTCACTGAAGCTAAGGCTACACACTACACCTTGGGAGGGCTTGGGAGATTTTAGGAATCGACCGATTATCGGTCGTCCATTGGCACATTTGTTAATTCAATTTGTGAGGACCTTTACGTTAAATTATTAGTCTGGTCTAGCATACTGGTTAAAAAAATAAGTATAAAACTAAACACAAAAATGGTTGTGCAAACACAACACTACTCACTGTATGTTCCCAAGCAAAGCACCTCCTGATTAGTTTAGTTCATTGACCTAATTAACATTAGACTTCTCTTGGATAAAATCAAATAAATTACAAGACCGCACCCGTATCCTCTCCGCCTTTGAAGCTAATGGGCCATCACTTTTGCCGTCTTTATAACATACAACAACATACAGTGGCGCTAGAGCTGTCTCGGATTAGATACAAAACTGATGAACATTTGGAGTGTCCTCTGTGAGGACACTGTGAGGGTGGCCTCTTATTCCAGGTGTGTGCTGTTTGTGCACGTCACCCAGATTATTTTAGCTCTGAGTCTTCCATGGTTTTTTGTGGCTGTTATTAGGGTGGCAGCTAATGCATTTACATACACACAGGCATATTAATTATCACTTTCATTACAAACACAATGAAACAATAAACAAGTTCCAAAATATGCCCCGGACCCCCACTGGATCCAAGAGCCAGACCCCCGCAGCCACAGCAGACCTCAGCTCCCAGCGCAGAGGGCTCCTCCAGAGGAAACACTGGAGATACTATAACAATATAATAAAAAAGTAAAACATTAAAATGTGAGACTAAAAAGAAAATGGCTGCTTCCTAATAATAATAATAACAATAGTAAATGACAAACAACAAACAACAAAACAAAATGTGTCTAAAAGATCCATGAAATAAATAAAATGCAAAATGAATACTAATCAAAAGCTAATCTGAATGATGATGATGATGAATTAAATAGTTTCTGGCATTAATTGAAGAAGCGCAAGCGGCAGTAAAGTTTTCAATGAAAGATTATTAGCTCATTTCACAAAAATAAATAATATTTAGATAAATTGAGGATTTTGAATTATTGAATTATACATGTGTTGACAATGAAAATGTATTTTTTGTAGTAGACCTAGTAATAGTAAGTAAGTAATTAAGTAATCCTTACTTATATACCGCTTTTCACAGACCAGAGTCACAAAGCGCTTTACAATTGTGGGCATTTGTCTCTCAATACAGGAGGCGCATGCCAGACCTATTGTACATGTTTTTAGTGGAAGGGGAAACCTGAGTACGCTGAGGAAACCTACTCAAACACGGGGAGAACATGCAAACTCCACTCAGAAAGACCCTGTTCCAACCGGGATTTCGAACCCAGGACCTTCTTGTTGAGAAGTGAGAATGCTATCCACTCAGCCACCGTGCCGCCCAATCGAATGTGTGATGCTGTTTTTTGGGAATAAAAAAAGAATAAAATCAACACAATAATTTTGTTTTGTTCTTTTTTTGTTTTCACTTGTCATTTAATAGATAAATGACAAGTGAAAACATGCTCACGCTTGAAAACATTTTTTATTCTTAAAGCACATGTTCGAGATGGAATACATATTAACCACATCATTTCAAACATTACATTGCCTTAAACTGACTGCGATTCAGTCTGTGTAAGTAGCGGCAGCGGCAGCAATGTTCCACAGATGATCAAAATGAAAGTGGTGCCTTGGGGATCAGGTGTGATGGGCTGGGCAGGAGGAGAAATGAAGCAGGCATTGGGCCGATATTACCCTTCTTTATATATCCCATGCCGGGCTCAGACCCGCATGCATGCACACACTATACACTGCACACATTCACAGTGGCCAGGCTGTCTGTCAATCTGTCAGTGCCCAAACTCCACAAATCACTCAAATAACCCAGCTAACAGAGGATGGAGGCTCTCTGGCACAAAGAGCTCTTGTACTTGACACAGTACAGACGAATCCAAGCACGTATGTTCAGTATGTTAAAACGGGGGTATACATGACAAAATTCTGTCTTTACCTCCAAAGCGAATGGAAAATGAAAGATATCCACATAGAAAATGTTTCAGTATGGCAATCCTGGGCTTACTTGACGCTTTGAGATGAGAGCTGATTAAGTGAAGCTATCCGATTTTCTCTTTTGTGTCTGGAAAGCCTGTTCTAATGCTGTATGTTCAGGTTGGTTTGTGTTGTTATGTAAAATCAGGTAATCCAGCTTTAAGGTCAGGGTAAAGTCGCCAAACTGCTCAGTTCAGGTTCTTAATGCCACTGTCTGTATGTTGATACTAGCTTACATAGACTCTATGACTCAGATAAATCTTTAATAACTGCTGAATGATATGGAAATGTGTTAACAATTCCTGAGTGGATAGCACTCACGCCTCTCAGCAAGAAGGTCCTGGGTTCGAATCCCGGCCGGACCAGGGCCTTTCTGAGTGGAGTTTGCATGTTCTCCCCGTGTCTGCGTAGGTTTCCTCCGGGTACTCCGGTTTCCCCTACCACTAAAAATATGTATAATAGGATTGGCATGCGCCTCCTGTTCGGCGACCCCGCTCCCATCTCTCTGTGGAGTGAGAGGACAAGTGCCCAAAAATAACAATTGTAAACCGCTTTGTGACTCTGGTCTGTGAAAGGCGGTATATAAATAAAGATTACTTACTTACTTACTTAACAAAGTAAGCTTAATCAAACAGTCCAAGGTGTACCAGGCAGCGGGAGTGGTTGGCTGCCCAATCACTGCTGTAAGGAAGCGGGTTACCATCTTCTGGATCCAGATTGCCTGTGGGTCTGTAGTTCTGACTGAATGCGTAGACATTCTATGAAACCCTATGTTGTAAATTTCTCCAGTGATAGATCAATAAAGTCTATCTTATCTTATCTTATGGCGACATTCCAAGAGTCAAAAGCCGCGTTAAGATAAGATAGGATAAAACTTTATTGATCACACAATGGAGAAATGTCACATTTGGTATATATAGGATCACTCAGGGTGTACAAAAAGACAGAAAATGTGAAAACAACAGGAAATGTGCAGATTAAAAAGTGAAAAGAGTATCTTATGTGCAATAAAGTTGTTCTATGCACAATTAGAAAGAGACTATTACAGTGCCAGGTATGATCTCATGACAACAGCAGTTGAAACAGGAAATACATAACTTTGTATGGAGCGAATAGACCATGCTCTGGCCATAAATATACAGTCTATGGAAACAAGTAACAATACAGATGTTCTCCAGGGGCATCACTCGAGCTTTCTTTTTGTTAAATATTTAAAAATCTAATATTCACTGATCTTTCAGGATTCAAACCAAATCGTTAATTACGGCCCCCCTAATGTGTGTGTGTGTGTGTGTGTGTGTGTGTGTGTGTCAGGTTTACAGGTAGTGCTAAACTCTATCATCAAAGCCATGGTCCCTCTGTTGCACATCGCTCTGCTTGTCCTCTTCGTCATCATCATCTACGCCATCATCGGCCTGGAGCTCTTCATGGGCAAGATGCACAAGTCCTGCGTTTACAGCCTCACGGGTATGCGCACACACACACACACACACACACACACACACACACACACACACACACACACACACACAGGTTCTTTGCTAATTTCTAAAGCCTGAGTTATGTTACAGTTTTCATCAGCCGAAGCACTTTTAAGAGAAATGTGTGCTTTGCCTTAACCCTAATTCTTTATCCTTTTTGCTGACATGGTTTTTTGGGAAGATTTTTTGGAATTAGTGTTGACAAGATATTAAAATTACAAACAGATGTATAAACTTGACACACAAAGGTAATGAGGATTTTATACTTTTCTTTTTCAGTGACACTAAATACTTGACATCTACCCAAAATAGAAGTAAGATTTATTGTGCTCTCTGTTCTAAATCTATGAAGCAGGGGCTCAGAAACATCACATTTTTATTTCACATTGATAGCACCAATAATCCCAGGGATCCACATTTATTGGCTACAATGACACATTTGTATAAATATCGATGCTCGTTGCATGTGCTTGTTCTTGACTGAACATAAGCGCATTCTGCAAAAACAGCAAAAGTTGTGCGGTGTCCGTTGCTTCACTCAGAGGAGGGTGTGTTTCAGTGATGAACTCTGAAGAAACAGTTTTTACTTCAAGCAACCTGAACGAGTAGCAGCAGACGAGCAGACACGCAGGTGCTCCTGACAGCTAAAGGGACGAGGGTCTCTTGGAAAGTGCAAACAAGAGACTTTCCAAACATGGCATGATATTAAATCTATGCTTAAAGGCAAACTATTAAAACTAAACTGGAGGAAACGAGGGAAAGAGGCAGCATTTCATCACAGATTCTTTATGGAAATATCATTATTTTCATCAAACTTGATGAGAGGTGCGTTCTGATTGGCCTAGAGCTATATGTGTCTTGCAAGCCTCATTTTCACCATCCCTGGAATAGTATCCCAAAATAGTGATTAAATAGCATTCAGCATCTCACTTTGGACTAGAGCTGCTGTGACCTAAAGTGCTGTTGCATGTTAATGCTATTTTTTGCTGTTTTTTGAAGGATCTATTTAGTCGTTTTGTTTGCATGGATGGATGTATTTCTGTTGCTACTGGACACCTGAATTTCTCTTACAGGGGATCAATAAAGTTGCTATCTACCTATCTATCTGGGAAGGCCAGCCCACAAACATATTGAAAAAAAGGATTCCTAATATTGTTGATTTTTTCTATTGTGTTATAATTTGAATATCAGGTTTTCTCTAGTTTAGCCATACAAAATATATCCCTGACTCAATGTAAAGTATGTTAAAGAAACTGGACCCAAACTTGGTTTTTAAGAGCATCAAGAACAAGCACCTTCCCAGTGACCTTACTTTAAGTGTCAAATATGCTTGCCCAATAGACTCTGGGTATACTTATGTCAGCAAGGCAATGAAGAAAGACACAGTATACAACAACAGCTTTACTTTTTAAACGCATTATTTACAAAAGGTATTGCTTTCTTACTCCTTTGCTTTCTTACTCCTTTTTCAAAATGAGCAGCGAAGACCCATTTAAAATTCTTTTTAATATATTATATCAATGTATTTTGAGCGATTTCACCCTTAACCAGTGTGCGTCAGCCGTCTGCTAACAACATGTGCTGAAATAGAGCCTGCTTAAACACTTCCATGAAAACTGTCATTAACTATTTAGGACATCATTTATATTTTGTACAGCAAACGATCAGGTAATAATTGAAAGAGCCATGCATGATTGAAGCGGCATGTGGCGGCCTGGAGGTATAAGTGGACTAGAGTGCTGTTATGGGGCAGCTATGTGTCCCGCGAGGAGCATTAGCAGCAGGTCGTGCGAGTGCTGGGTTATAGAGGAGAGCTTGTTTTCTATAATGAGCACAGCGCATTTACACCTCCTATGTTTTTATTCTAACCAGTTTAACCTGTACTTAACTTGATCTTTTAATTGATAATGGTTGTGCAGTGCATTAGCCTTCTTTCCATCAGTCTGCCTAAGGACAGCTGTGGCTACAATAGTATTTTACCCCCACAATTCAGAATGTCATAATGCATTTTTTTTTAAAACTGTATGCCTGTAATTTAACCATGTTAATTTAACCATGTTAGATCTAGATTTAGGGGCAGCATGGTGGCTGAGGGGATGGCACTCTTGCTTCTCAGCAAGAAAGTTCTGGGTTCAAATCTTGGTCGGAACAGGGCTTTTTGAGTGGAGTTTTCATGTCCTCCCGTGTCTGCGTAGGTTTCCTCCGGGTACTCCGGTTTCCTCCGGGTACTCCGGTTTCCCCTACCACTAAAATCATACACAATAGTTCAGGGTGAATGGGTGTGTGTTTGTGAGTGCGAATGTGGGAGAACGGATGCAAATTAGCCCAAGCCTACAATCCGGAGTGGTGTGTTCATTAACATGCACTGTCCCAACCAAATAAACAATAGATAAATAAATAGATCTCAAATGTAATTTTCAACTTAACTTATCTTAAATAGGGTGGCAACATTTTCTTGACGAAGTCCCACGGCCGAAACGTTGTATACTGTATGTAGATTAAAAAAACACTGGTGTATGCAAGTACAGTGTGCAAGAGTTTTTCTACCTTTTCAAGTTAGCGAAGCTGTGTGCGCAGCCTGCTCTTAAGCACCTGTCACAGAGTCACATGTGCGAAGTTTTCCGCTCTCTACAAATTTATATCACTAGACAGGAGTGTTATACTTTCACTCCATTTCTCCATCACTCCAATCCGTTTATCTATATGTAATTCACTGATGAAATGATTTCTCCAAATGAACACATCCAATACAAACAGCTGTACTTAAAAATAAGATATATTTTCTATTATTATGGCCATTAAACTTATCAACGAGACTATTCATTTTATGAGTTATTATGTGAGTGTCAGTTCACCCGAGAAATTGTCCAATTTCTAAGGTGACTTTTGTTTTCAAATGCAGAAAACTGCTCTGAACACTTGGGGCGGAGTTACATCTTTGTAAGTAACTTCAGGTCTGTTTTGGATGAGGGGCGATGTTGAGACATGGTTATCAGAAAAAAAAAGCACTTAAATGTCCCCCTTTATGAAAGTTTAGAAATGATGTCCTGTCTCTCCCAGGGCTGAACGCGGAGGAGAAACCCGCCCCATGTGCTCCGGACGGGGGGTACGGCCGACACTGCACGCGAAACGGCTCGGAGTGCAAGATGGGCTGGGAGGGGCCCAACGACGGCATCACAAACTTCGACAACTTTGCCTTTGCCATGCTGACCGTGTTCCAGTGCATCACTATGGAGGGCTGGACTGACGTGCTGTACTGGGTGAGTCGCTTGCCGCACCTGCTGTAACGCGTGTCTGTGTGTGTTTGTGTGTGTGTGTGTGTGGACATGTGTGTGGGTGTGGGTCTGTGTATGAATGTTCATCAAGTAAACAGTGGCACCAAAGACAAATGAAATATCTACAACAACAAAAAAAACACTTTTGAGCTGCCAAGTGATTAGACAAAAAGCATTGAAAGCTGGGGTACCTAACTTTATTGTTTGTCCCAACTCGGGTTGCAAAGGGGCGGAACATTTCCAGTAAATCTCCATGGGAAGTTAAGCTGGAGAATTTTGCATATGGATTTTCAATATAATGTTTTGTAAGTAGAACAAGTTCCTCATAATATCATTAAAGGTGACTTCAATTGATTTAAGACACTCATTTGAACCTGTGGACTACTGTCTTGTGCTTTGAGCTCAAAAGTGTGGTCTCCTTTAAGAAATCTTCTGCACATGTGCTGGAGGCATGCCCAGTGCCAGTGGGCCATGAAGTGTGCTATGTGCATGTGATGGAAAAAGGACATGAATATTCAAGTATATTTCAATGTCATTGGTTTGTTTTTGTCAAGATTATGGTAAAATATTCTTTTCTCAACAATATTCAAGTTCCCTGTTTTCAAAACCTTCCATTTTGAAAACTCCCACTTAATTCCTGTTTATGTCCATAAACTCTCGTTAATTTCTTTAAATTCTTTTTGATTTCTTCAAATTCTCCAACTTCCACCTTTGAACATTTTTAGGATTTTTTGCAACCCTAACCACAACAACCTGTCTTCATCTTATTAAAAACAGTTTGCATCATTGTAAGAAAGAGCCTTGTGAGTCAGTAATTGACACTTTGAGCTTAGCGCTGAGTGAAGGCGGATGTAAAGATGTGGCGGAAAAGACCTTTCACTTGTTACACAGGAACAAAGTCTCAAAACGCAGATTTGCTGTTGGCTGTTATGACATAGTTTTTTGTTTTGTTCTTAGTTAAGTACCCCAGCTTAGTTTAACAAAATGTACCCAGGGTTCATCCACAGAAGTATGTTGCCCTGCTGTAGTTTGGGATGGAACCTTTCCTTCAACATCCAGCCTGAAATCCCAAGCTCTAAAACAGGCAATAGGAGATGCTTTCAGTGCTCCAACAGGCTAATACTTGCAGCAGCACAAATACTTGAGCTCATTTAACTCAATTTTAAACATTTGATTAGTTTTTTAATTGAGGACATAATTGTGTACATAAATTAATAATTAAACACTCATGAATCAAGTTCCAATATATAATTGACCATCAGTTTGCTTCGTTTCTAAATACAGTACATGCTTTATTTTGAAAGGAACCAGGAAAAGCAAATGGTGTGTTTGCCTTTAAAGTTTAATGTTTAGTTTCTTAATCTTTTAAATTCCATCTTCAAAATCTTCTAACCCATTTATTGCAGGGAAATAGATTCTTGATAAAATGACAGGTGTTAAGTAGTTTATCCAAATTCAGTTAATATTGGAGAGACTAAACACAGACAGTACTCGTGTGCATTTGAGTGAGTGAGTGCCTCTTGTTCTTTATTGCCGTAGAACTTGGAGCTTGCTGGCTCCACACCCTGCTCTCCTGTTGAACTCTTCTGTACACACTGCCTCATCTATAATTCACACTATTTATGTTTCACACCAGCACGGCGCTGTCTGCTCTGCACAAAATACAACCTTTCTGCGATTTATGCAGACTTGTTAATATACATTTGGTTGTAGAAAAACTAATGTTGGATCGCAGCTTGTTACGCACTTTGAATTCAGGTTGGAAGATAGTTGGATCCGGTTCTTTCATACAGAAATCTTAATCAGAATCAAGTAAGTTTGTAGATAATTAAAAAGAAAAAAATCCAAAAAAATGTTTTCCAGATCATTATTTAGATTAGACAAAGCTGCCATATTATTCTTATGTCTGAAAGTCTTTCTACTTTCCAATCACATTTGTGTTTGAATATTGGCACCACTTCTAGACACATTTATGAGAAAATATTCAGACTATAGTTGATATGTCCTGACAATAAAGAAGATGTGAAAGATTGAAACAGTTTTTTTTAGTTTTTTTATATAGACCGTCTCAAGAATTACAGTTACCTTTATCCCAGGACATAATTACCAGCTGGCCTCACGACAAGTTTAAACTATCGGCTCTTTGGCATGGTGTGATGTCACATAAAATCAACCCTTTTATAGTTTCAAACAAGAAGAATTTGACTCATTAATACATCAGAGGCTTTTTGTGTATTATTAGAAAAAAAATATGATACAATATGGTGTCATTAACCAATTATAAATAACAAATAACGTTTAGCCAGAATAAGTAACTTACTGGTTATTATATGTGATTTTAATATTAGTCATTTCCATTTTCCAATTATGATATAGAATATCATTAATTACCATCTCCAACTTGTGATATACATTTGGATTTTTTGCCATGTTAAAAACATTACAAACTTTCCTGACTACTTAACTAAATTATAAGTTACTGATATTTATAGCTGTAAAAGGTCCAATTCAAAGTATCATTCATACAAAAACAAACCCAATGATAAAAGTAAATAAAAATACCTTCAATTGTTTTGATATTCACATTGATATTTAACTCGATACATTGCCTTGTACTTAGTCCTGACTAGTCAACTCAAGCTAGAACTTTTCACTGTGGAGCTGTTTTAACTTTCCTCATTCATTCTAACATTGGTTTCTGCACTGCACTCTGCTCACCTCTTCCTCTCCTCTCCTCTCCTCTTCCTCTTCCTCGTCTTCTCCTCTTCCCTCTCTCAGATGCAGGACGCTATGGGCTATGAACTGCCGTGGGTCTATTTTGTCTCTCTCGTCATCTTCGGCTCCTTTTTCGTTCTCAATCTGGTTCTGGGGGTGTTGAGCGGGTAAGATCTTGGATAGTGATGTATTTTATTTGTGAAGAAAAAACTAACAGCAAGACTCCATACATTATTTTTCCTTATACAGCTCAATCAAATCCCCCTGCTGTTGTTATTGTCAACACAATAAGCCAGGAAAAAAACTAGAACATTTGAGTGGAGTCTTGCTGTTTATCCCTCTGGACCAATTACAATGCATTTAATGTGCTGTGTTGAAGTCTGATTTAACATCATGGGTCATTCATTATCCAATCAAATCTAAAAGGTTTGTTGCAAATGTGCAAATTTCCAGCATAAAAAACTAAAATTGGAAATTTGTTAGCAGGACAAATTCTAATGGAGCACAAACCTTGCCCACCCTATTTGGTTAATAGGGTCTCTTTGATTATGTGGAATTAGTATGAATGTTCCAGTGTTCAGTCAGGCATATATCTATATCTCCCTTTTCTAAAAAAAACAAAACAACAAGTGATTCTCAAACTGTTTGTTCTGCCGCAAACAAATATTCAGCTCTGTCAAAGCATGTACAAATGATTTTGAATTATACTGTATTTCTGAACAACGCATGTTATGCTAAATGGGCTTTTAAGGGATAATCGGAGGAAACCAGTATGTGCCATCGACCCCTCCGACCACCACCAATCATTCACACACACATCAGACTCAAACTAGGATGTGTCTTGCCTAGAACATAACCAGTTTGGCACTTTACAGCCGCCCCACTGTAGCACCTAGCGTTCCCATATGTCTTCCATAACCAGGCCCTGTCTTACTTAGTTTCTGAGTAGATGTAACCTGCAGAAAATTGGGCAAAAGTAAAAATACAAGTGCATCTGCTGCTCATTACTAATTTTTGACAGAAATATTGTAGTATTAGTACTAGTAGTTTATTTCTTCGACCATTATAAATATTAGATCTTACGGATGTTCACTCAACAGGTTACACTTGTCTGCAAGGCAGTCAAATGGTTTTTCCAATATTTCTCAATAAATCAATTAATCAAGCTTAATTTATAAAATGCTATTCATACAAAGAAATGCAACGGAAAGTGATTTACATTCTGGTTAAAAACAGTTTCAAATGCCCACGACCCGTCACCCAGCGGACCCAAATTACATAAATTATAAAATACATACACACACATAATAAAAAGGGAAAATCCAGTGACATAGAAACAATCTCTATATACATTGAAAAAAAAGAAGACCATATTCTGCTGGCCATACAGTGATAATCCATTATACCCAATGCTCGTTTTTATATATGTAAATATTTCATTCTCAATATTTATCTTCTAGAATGTGAATGTTAACAATGTGTTTGTCCTATCACTCTGCTACTTTACTCAAGTCATTACCGTTTTGTAGTATCAGTATTTTTCCCCCTAGCAAAACTAACGAATCATATAAATACAGGTATTCAGAATAAAAACAAACAATGTCAACAATAAAACATAAAAATGGTGGGTGGGTGTGGTGGTCAGAGCAGGACCATTTATGTCTCTTTATCATAATTTTAGCTCAATATTTTTGTTTTAATGTGAAATGCAGGTGACTAATCTTCCAGACAGTGCAGTTTGAGAATCACAAGATTTAACCCTTATATTAATGGCCGCTCGCTCCCTCCTTGTTCTGTGTTCATCTCCCCCTCCCCCTCCCTCCTAATCTCAGGTGAACGATGCAGTGGGCTCCAACGGGCCCTGGCTCTATTTTGTCACCCTAATCATCATCGGATCCTTCTTTGTGCTAAACTTGGTTCTGGGGGTGTTGAGCGGGTAAGACAGGGGCCAGAGCACAACTCCAAACTGTCAACATGCTTTTTATTTGAACGCTTTTCCTCCTTGACCTTTCCACTGCACAAACAGGAGCAGGACTTCTCCGCTGCAGGCTGCTGACCCTCCACTAATACACTTTCCAACTTGTTTTACAGAATTTCTGTTAAAAACTATTGCATGAGAAGATAGAGAAAATGTCCTGTGTGGTTATTTTAAACAAAAAAATGTCTGCATTATTTTTGTAATGAGACTATTTACTTAGAGTGTGAAATCAATATGTTCAGTAGAGAATATGGTGAAACTAGTATGAGGGGTAAACAATCTTTCCAGTTAGCTACCACCAGTGTAAAGTGTAAAAAAAAAATTAAGTAATTGTCATTTTTTGTTTTTTTTAATTACTTTCTGCAAACACAGCCATGGGATTCTCACACGAGAAAGGGCTACAAATAGTTTGAGACAAAACTGAACGTATGTGATGTCACAGTAGAACATCATACTATTACATGACTGAGACAGGCTTCAAAAAGAAGGGGCGGAGTCACGCGTCAGTATCAGAAGTTCCTGACAATATTAACAAGAACGAATCTTAAAACAACTCCAGATCTGTGACTGACGGAATAATGTTATGTAATGTCATGTAATATGGTTAAAAGTTCTGAAACTCAAAAAGTTAAATCGATTTTGCATAATGTTATTACTTTTCCTGGAGTATTTCATCACACTGAAGAGAAAGCTCTTATATAGCAATGTGTCTTTACAGCATAGCATCGCCCTTTCAGCAGCAAAAGATCAGAATTGCTCTATGAATATTGTTATTTATTTGACTAGTTATCTGGTATAGGATGGAATCTGTTGGAGCTGTTATTCAAACAAGAATGGAGAAAAGTCCAGACAAGCATAGACAGACTTTCTCCAGAACACTTCCTGTAATATTATCAAACATGTGGGAAAAAAAAAAAACAGCATCAAAAGTCTTGCCATGTGGTTCAAACAGCTTGGAGTGTTTCACTAGTTTCTCTTTTTCTGAGTGCGGACTAATGATGCTGTCACAAACTACACGCTGGCCTTTTCCCCGTGCAGCAGGCCTGACTGTGGGCTGTGTGCACTCTGCAGTTTGGCATCATAACAAATAGCTGAAAAATGCGGACAAGGAACCTGACAGAACTAGACAACCACTGGTGTGCCTGTGGCCGTCCCCAGTGGCATCAAGAATAGAAAGTTGTAAATTTGTCAAGCAGGGATCACATTATGACCAAACTGGCAAGTGAGAAGTAAGAGTGCACAGAAGACAAAATGAGTCATCTCCATGGTTACCATGACTCATAACGAGATAATAATATACAAAAACAATATGTACCCCCAAATATGAATGGCTACCAATTATATATACTACTATTATATAGTCTTAAAGGACTATACAAAATTGTTGATTCCACATCAACAGATCAGAGAATCAAACAGTTCGAACACAGGAAATGCAATAATAACACACACTACAACAGATTAGATTAAAAGGATGCAGTGGTCTCAGTCTCTCAGACTCTCAGATGCTGGATTTGTTTCTCAGCTTAACGTTATTTGTTACTTTTAAATTCTTGTTGAATCCAAAGTTTGTGTTTTCTTGTATTTCTAATCAGTGTTGCAAGTATTCTAGTATCTCATATACTGTAACAATTAGGTGAAGAGGTAAGTACATGTAAAGTAATTATACAGGCCTTTTAAAATCAGATTGAGACCATTTACTTGATTTCAAGTTTTAGAATGCAAAGAAATATTTCAAGAAAAAAATATTAAATATTTCTTAACAGGTATCAAGGGTGAAAATTTCTTTCGTGGTACAGTGACAACGTAATATTACAGGAGTGAGAGAGGAGCTTTCAGACAGAGGTAGCTGAGTTACATGTGTGTGCCAGAAGTTCCTTATATTATTCTGAATGCATCTACAAACAACTCCAGGTCTGTGACTGATGAGGGAAAAATGTTATGTTGTAAAATCGTTAAGATCTAGAAAACTATGCACAAAAAAGCGTTGGCAGCTTTTCTCTTGTTGTGCAAACCCAATGTGACAATCATTCTGAGCGCCATTGATTACCATTGCGAATCCTGGTCAGTGCAGCCCGCACTTGCTTTGAGCTGCTTTATCATTTCTCATCATAGATCCATTTCTGACACATACAGAGACTGCAAAAGTGACCAGAGCAATAGCTGCGCTGCAAATCGATACAGACAGTACATTACACGGCCATATATAGAGATTTATTTTTACACCCGCAAGCCAATGTCTAAGAATAAACACGGCCACTCAAATTCTAAGAATAATATGAATATGAAACACTTTAATGGGCCAACATAATAGAATAAAACGTGGATGTATTTTTAGAAGAAAGACCCACGCCAAAGCCTCATTTAGTACTGGTAAAATGCCTCAGACTGAATCTGAACCAGAAGGATAATATTAAAAAGAACATTACAGACTCAAGTATAGTAATATAATAATAACTTTTGAATCAATTATTTATTGTTTATAACTAACAACAGTATTGTGTATAATATACACTCTTAGTGGTCTAAATAAGTCATTACAGTTACAATAACAGAACCGGAATCTTCCTGCTGTGACCCATATCGCTGGAGCCTAACAAGAAACGGGAAAAACTGCTGTTTTGTTTGTTTGTCAATTAGTTTTTTGCTTTTGTTTTTTAACAGCTTACCTTCACCCAACAAACTGGCAACACAAGCCTCATTCTGCTCTCTCCAATTGGATAATCTGACCTCATGTTCATTGTATTTTTAATGAAGAAAAACTCAGCTTTAAATTGTTCTTCACAAATATGTTTTGTGCGCATTTACCCATTATTTAGGGACATATAAAAGCTGTTGAGGTCATTTAAAATGAAAATTATCATGTTCCTTTCATTTATACAAATGTGCTGAAAAAATAATATATTCTAAATTAATTTGAAGTGCGCCGACAGTGGCTCAGTTGGTAGTGCATTGGCCTTTGAGCCTGAAGGTTGTGGGTTTGAGCCCACCGAGGGACCTTCTCCACCGACTGATGTCGTTGTGTCCTTGGCCATTCTGCCGGAAAGATCAAGGCTTGGCTCTCACTGACAGAGCAGCCATCCTCCTGTGAGGGGCTGGTGCTTTGTGAATTGGGTGCAGCTCTGACTGCCACCCCCCAACTGGATGAATGCATTTAAAGTGTAATCTGAACATAGAACATAATCAAGACAAGCACAGACCTGCACCAAGACACCTCCAGAATCAAATATTGTGTTCCTCTTGCAAGGTTTTCTGAAAAAGTTAATATTGAGCAATTACTTTTTGAGTTATGTTGCAAACCAAAGGACATACAGACAAACCCTGTGATTACATTCCCCTCTTTGTCGTCTAGTGAAATATAGTTTGTGATAGCTAGTTTCCTGTAGCTCCAGTTGAATATAGTTCCAAAATGCAAGTGTGCAGGATACTACTACAGCGCTCTCTTCTAACAGAAGCGCACACCGGGGCAGGACAGCTGGCTGGGGCCGCCTCTACTCCCCCGGGTGCTCTGTGAGTGGGTATGTTCAGAGGGAGTCCTGAGGCATTACATAAGCATAACTACATAAGTGTCGCCCCAGCACCTGGGCCTGAGGCAGCAGAACGCGCACTACAATGAGCTCCAGAGTGCGGACAAAGCACTTTTCGTGTCATTCATGTTCTGCGCAGCTGTGTTTTTTCTACTTCTTTCAGAGGGTTGGGAAATAGGTTTATTAGTGGGTAAAATAATTAAATAATATATAACTAAATATGTGTTTTTATCTCTAAGTAGTATAAGAACATATAAAGAAGACTTGTTATGCCAAATCAGACCTGGAGTTGTTTTTAGATCTGGCACAAAAAATTTCCATTGCTCAATGACAATGGGCGATGTGTGTGTCAGATGTTCCTTATCTTCTTTACACATTTTTAAAATAGGAAAATAACAAAAACCAATTATTTATTTCCCTCTGGTGGTAGCAAGTGAGTTTACGTTGGGAAGCATTATTTACCCGTCATTCTTGTTTCATCATATACTTTCAAATGAAGATCATATTTTACATCCAAAACCATTAAATGACAATGTAAATAGTCTCATCTATAATGGTAACAAAAATGGTATTTCTTCTTAAATAGTTATGTCAGTAACCTGAAGTGCATGTTTTTTTTTGAAAACTGCATTAGAATTTTTTTTCTAAAACATTATACAATATTTTTCCCAGCCCTTGGCAAGAAGGTTTGGTTGAAGTTTTGGATGTACAGTGTCTTGCGAAAGTATTCGGCCCCCTTGAACCTTTCAACATTTCAGGCTTCAAACATAAAGATATACATTTTTTTTTTTTGTCATGAATCAACAAGAAGTTGGACACAATCGTGAAGTGGAACGAAATTTATTGGATAATTTAAACTTTTTTAACAAATAAAAAATTGAAAAGTGGGCCGTGCAATATTATTCGGCCCCTTTACTTTCAGTGCAGCAAACTCACTCCAGAAGTTCAGTGAGGATCTTTGAATGATCCAATGTTGTCCTAAATGACTGATGATGATAAGTAGAATGCACCTGTGTGTAATCAAGTCTCTGTATAAATGCACCTGCTCTTTGATAGTCTCAGGGTTCTGTTTAAAGCGCAGAGAGAACCATGAAGACAAAGGAACACACCAGGCAGGTCCGAAATACTGTTGTGGAGAAGTTTAAAGCCGGATTTGGATACAAAAAGATTTCCCAAGCTTTAAACATCTCAAGGAGCACTGTGCAAGCAATTATTTTGAAATGGAAGGAGTATCAGACCACTGCAAATCTACCAAGACCCGGCCGTCCCTCCAAACTTTCATCTCAAACAAGGAGAAGACTGATCAGAGATGTAGCCAAGAGGCCCATGATCACTCTGGATGAACTGCAGATAACTACAGCTGAGGTGGGAGAGTCTGTCCATAGGACAACAATCAGTCGTGCACTGCACAAATCTGGCCTTTATGGAAGAGTGGCAAGAAGAAAGCCATTTCTCAAAGATATCCATAAAAAGTCTTGTTTAAAGTTTGCCACAAGCCACCTGGGAGACACACCAAACATGTGGAAGAAGGTGCTCTGGTCAGATGAAACCAAAATCAAACTTTTTGGCCACAATGCAAAACGATATGTTTGGCGTAAAAGCAACACAGCTCATCACCCTGAACACACCATCCCCACTGTCAAACATGGTGGTGGCAGCATCATGGTTTGGGCCTGCTTTTCTTCAGCAGGGACAGGGAAGATGGCTAAAATTGATGGGAAGATGGATGGAGCCAAATACAGGACCATTCTGGAAGAAAACCTGTTGGAGTCTGCAAAAGACCTGAGACTGGGACGGAGATTTATCTTCCAACAGGACAATGATCCAAAACATAAAGCCAAATCTACAATGGAATGGTTCACAAATAGACGTATCCAGGTGTTAGAATGGCCAAGTCAAAGTCCAGACCTGAATCCAATCGAGAATCTGTGGAAAGAGCTGAAGACTGCTGTTCACAAACACTCTCCATCCAACCTCACTGAGCTCGAGCTGTTTTGCAAGGAAGAATGGGCAAGAATTCCAGTCTCTCGATGTGCAAAACTGATAGAGACATACCCCAAGCGACTTGCAGCTGTAATTGCAGCAAAAGGTGGCACTACAAAGTATTAGCACAAGGGGGCCGAATAATATTGCACGCCCCACTCTACAGTTTTTTATTTGTTAAAAAAGTTTAAATTATCCAATAAATTTCATTCCACTTCACGATTTTGTCCCACTTGTTGTTGATTCTTGACAAATTTTTTTATTTTTATATCTTTATGTTTGAAGCCTGAAATGTGGCGAAATGTTGAAAGGTTCAGTGCCTTGCGAATACTTTCGCAAGGCACTATAATTGGTTGAGAATAAGAATAGTTAAAGGAACAGAGAGGCATATGTTTCAAGGCTTCTCTTTTAGAAGGAGCTAACAATAGAAATACAAAAGCAGTACAAAGTATAATTTTTGTAAATTAATAAATCCCACACATATATTTCAAGTAAAAATTTTGTTCCATTGAGATATTTTTATTTATTTGAATATTTGTCTTTCAAATCTTTATCTTCATACTGTATATTGAGAAAAATACAGGTCTCACCATGACAGTAACATTGTTGACCCCACATTCCCATTATTTTTTCCATAAACAAGGGATGCACTTTCATAGCAGAAAGCATCAAAGGGACAAAAAGAAATTCTCTACCTTGGTTAAAGATTGTCCACATACAACACATCCTACTGTTGTGATGGTTGACATGTCCACTTTAACTACATTTTTGAGATCAGATAGACATTTATTTTTTTCTGACGGATATTCATTTCCACAGAAACTGTCACTTCCATAGAATGGGGAGGAAGTAAGTTGCAATACACCCAAGATACACAGGAAACACAGAAAAGAAAGAAAGACAAGCTAATTCACATGATAATGTGTTTATTTCTAGGCAAATTGAAAATCTCAGTCTCTCCATCCAAAAGACACCATTTAGGTCCAGGCAAGATGGCGCAGAGAGGAGCCACAGTCCGGTCACACCCTTTTTAGCAACAGTCGTTTCAATTGTGTCTTTGCCAGTCGCAGGAGAAAGTGTAATGAGTATAATTTTCATTCTTGTTCTTGTTTCTCCCCTTTGCATTTCTCAGACATTGCCTGCTATAATTGTGAATCCTGTTTTATTAACCACAAAAAATAATATATTTTAGACCAACTGTGTTTTCTGAATATGAAGAAATGCATTTTGTAACATCATATAACATCTGTGCACTAACCCCTTTTATTTCTCTGCTTCTCTTCAATCTCTGACGGTTTGGATTTTCAGATGTGTGTTTGTTCTTTATTTGCAGAGAGTTTTCCAAAGAAAGAGAAAAGGCCAAGGCGCGAGGAGACTTCCAGAAACTAAGAGAGAAGCAGCAACTGGAGGAGGACCTCAAGGTACAATTACAGACGGACATTCTTATTAGACATGCTTATTATCAATGTCTCTGATGTTTTTTTAAGTGGAAATTTGTTTAAATAATTTACCATAAAAATAGACACTGGTGAATATTGTGACCCTTTTAAACGTATTTCCAGAATAATCAACTTCTCAATCTTCTATTCCGGGGGGCCGGTGCGCTCCAATTCTAATGTGGTCTAACTATTATTATCATCATTATTATTATTATTATTATTATTATTATTAACGTTTATTAAGATGAATCATCTCGTTTTTTGCATGTATGCTTAAAACAAGCCTATTTATTACTCCTAGAAATGTATGTATTTGTATAGGTATTGTAATCATGCAGAAAGGCACAAAAGTATTCTGCAGCAGCTGAGCGTGTGTGAGAATTAAATGCCCAAAGTGAACATAATGTTGTGAGATTCAAAAAACCCATACATTTTTCAACATACTCTGTATTGTTATTCTTTGTAAATCAGCTTTTTCACGCCGAATGACGATCTTGACTCTGTTTTTAATAGGTCTGTCATATATTAGTTGGTTAGCAAATACATGAAGATACAATCCTTCAGTTGTAACACAGCTGAACACGATTATTTCTAACCTGGATTAAAGTCTATTCTCTGAGCCACAGGAAGCCAGTGCAGAGACCTGATGACTCGATTCTTATGATAGTTATAATCAGGTGCAACATTTTGAATGTACTGCAGCTGTTTTTCAGCTCGTTTGGAGAAACCAGTGAATAAGGTAATGAGGCTGAGGTAATGAGTGAGGCTGTTACAGTAGTTTAACCTACTGGAGACAAATGCATGGATTAGAATTTCCAGGATGGATTTTTTTGCAGATGTTTTTTGCAGATGTTACTGATTTAATGTGGCTATTAAAATGTATGTCTGAGCCATAATTACCCATAGATTTTGGACCTGACCTTTAAAATCAATTAATTGCGTTTTGCATTCAGGTTTTTGTCCGAGATTATGTACGCCTATGTCAAATGCAACACTTGTGTTTTGATGAAAAATATAGACGTGCTAAAATTGTATGTGCAGGGCTACTTGGACTGGATCACTCAGGCTGAAGACATTGACCCAGAGAATGAGGACGACGGATTGGATGATGAGAAGCCCAGAAACTGTGAGTACCAGCTTACATACAACGTCCGCTATTTGAGATCATAATTGTGATCTTATTTTTGTGAAGTGTGAAGGGATATTTTGACATAAATGAGAGAAAAGTTTCATCTTGAGATCTGTTGAGATTATTGACCCTGAATAATCAAGGTGTATTTTGTAACTGTCAAAATGTACATACTGGTCATTATTTCTTGATAACGTACCTCTCAAACCAATAATGGCCGCTGCCCATGGCAACGCATTTTGCCTTGTAATTCCGGTGTGTAAATATCACTCCACAAGTAGTCCAGCCACTTCGTCAACGAACTTTAAGCAACACCTTACCTGTCACTACTTCTGTCTCTGCCAGGCTAGCTCTGCTCAGTAAACACAAATAACAATGAACACATTTAAATGTTAATCGGATAGTACATTTTACATTTTCATCCTCTTTTGGTTTATCTGTTTACATTTTCATTTAAAAAAATTGTTTCAATGCAACAAAAGCATTCGCGGTAAACCCGTAAGTAACCATAACATTAGTAAAACATTTTAGGAGGCATTTGCAGAGGATCTGATTATGGATTTACGTTGAGAATATATATGAGTCACTCACCGCTGATGATCAGAGTTCTTTGTTCAGTTTTCATGTAGTTCAAGAGAGAAAGTATCAAGCCTAACTATTACTAGCTTAGCTTAGCTGTTACTCGCCTATGCATGGCACGGGAAAACCTTTGGGAACAATTTTTTTTTGCAGTCATTAAATAATAAACTTTTTGGCATTCTGAAGTTTATTTTGTGTGTTCACTTGATACAAAGCCTTATAATAAATACCTTCAGGGCAGACGCAGACCCCTCCACTGCGTGTCGGGATCCAGTTCACCCTGTCGGTACTTATTTTCCAATAATAACCTGTGTTCTATACATTATCCCTTACTTATTATCTGCTCCTCATCATACTTTCTTTTTATATTCTTTTTGCTTTTGACCTAAATATTATCCTGCTGGTACAATCCACACAGTATTCCAGGGATTGTTATAATACAGCTGTTTTTTGTTTTTTTGCCTGAATAACCTATAGCTATTATATAGTTTGCCATTCCACATATATAACATGTAACAGTTTAATGTCCTTCTATGAAACATTCAAGGGAAAGCCATTTCTGCCATTTCAAAACACACTGTATGTATTCCATATATTTTAACAACCTTTGAAATTATGTACTGTATTTAATGCGCATTGTCATCATTAGTCACATATTACTTTTACACTATACAATATGGCCATGTCCACACGTAGCCAGGTATTTTAAACACCAAATGTTTCCCCCCCACTATATATGACATCATTTGTATCCACATAACTCTTCCACACGTAACCGAACATAAGCGTTTTCAATCACATTCATAAGCATTCCAAACCTGTACGTCTCTGACACAGAAGTGGTGGACGGAGCTTTGAATTACGTTGGTAATTCTGTAGTATAACTTATTTACAGTCACAGTAGAAACTCAGGGTGAAGACATCTTCAGAAGCACTGTGTCCCCCATTGTCAGCCCTGGTTTAATCCTGGTTTAGCTCAGGTTTATGTTGTTTTTGAGCGTGAGTCCCCGTGACCACTTTGCTGCTCTCTGATGTGGAGCGAGGATGTTCATCTCCAACTTCTGCATCTCGCCGCTGAACCCACCGCAGCTGCGCCACAGAATGATCCGCCGGAACCTCAGTTTTCTCGGCAGTAAGATCCATGCTTCTACAGTGATCAGAGGTCGCACGTTTGACGTCAAAGCATATTTGTTGTTGTTTTGGCACACATTGTGACGCGCGAAAACACAAAAGTCCGGTTATCTCTGTCTACACGCAAATGCATTCAAAGTTTTCAAATATCTTCACTTTGCCCCGAGTTTTTTTTCATATATTTAGCAAATATATAACAACATTTCTTGACGTTTTAAAGCATGCATACGAGCATGTTGACTTCCCCTGATGAGAAACTGTGCTCAAGCCTCTGAAAGTTGTGAAATGATGCGTATCTCAGTACAGAGGACTTTCAAATGAACGATTCGATACAAAACTTTTACCATTGGGGTTCTTGGCCAGGTCACGTCGAAAAAGAGATTTAAATAATAACGAAATAAAAATGAAAATATATTTCAAAACAATACAATACGGTTTCTTAAAAAATAAAGGTTTTTGGCCCCTTCATAACAAAACCACAACATTATTCATGCATTTATTGGTCCTTTATTGAAGATTAATTGAAAGTATCATATGAAAAATAGTATGTAAATATTCCTGGGGGAGGCGCCCCACTTCTTGGACAGAGATGACCCATAGATGACCAAAAGTAATCACAAGTTTTGTGGATTAGTCTCTATTCTAAAACACAATTCAAAAAGAGAGGGAGAGAGGCTCCATGTTGTGAGCTACACATAAGAAACACTAAAAGCAGCCAAAAGCACCTTGAGCTGTACAGTAAAGTTAATATGTTCATGCATTTCCATTTCAATGGATATTTTAATAAAAATTAGGGCTGTCAAAAGATTTAAATTTTTAATTGAGTTAATTACAGCTTACAAATGAATTAATCGTAATTAATCACATTTCAAACTATCGGCAAAATTATGCCATATTTTTCTGTAAATGGTTGTTTGAATGGAAAACTATATGACATCATAGTGTACATATGTACTGTATTTGTTTATTATAACACTAAATCCACATAAAACGGCATTAACATTATGAACATTCTGTCTTTCTGTAGTAGACAGTATTTTTTCTAAGTTGTATTAAAAGCTGTTTTAAATTGAGCTAATTGATTTAGCTTGTGTCTGAATTAAGGCCATAGAAAGGGCAGAGTAAAAACTGCGTGACGCTAGTTCTCCTAGGCTACGCCCCCTCTAGCGTCTGCAGCGCATGTAAACAACAGCAGCAAGGAGGCCGAAAATGGCTCTGCCTCGTCTGTCTGTAACTGCATACACAGTAAAACAGCTCAAAAGACAAAACAGTGAGGAGGAGAAGAGGGAACTAAAGCGAAAGAAAGAAGAAATCAAGCCCAGGTGAACATAGCTAGCTTACATCGTATCCTCTGGAGAGACCTGCAGGAGCGGACTTAGGGTTGCCAACCGTCCCTTGAAATACGGAATTGTCCCATATTAAACAAAAACTTTGTGCGTCCCGTATTGAATTGATACGGGACGGCTTTTGTCCCGTATTTTCAGAGCCACCTTAAATGCATCACTCACTCACTGTATGTCACACAAACAGTAATCACAGTTTAAGTGTCAAACAGTGTGGAAGGAGGTGTAGACTTGATCACATGCATGGGTTTAATGTTGACAAGTGTCAGCGTGGGCCGTGCCCGCAGCATCACTACAGCAGAAGTTTGGTAAAGTAGCGTCATATTCCCAGATCCGGACTTCCGCGGTCAATAGCTCATGAAAGCTACTTTGTTAAACAAAAGTAATTGTGCTAAAATGATCATCTCTACGTTGATTTTTCCAATCGAATGCGCTGTTTTAATGCAGAGAAATCCATTGAATCCAATGCACTGCAAGCGCCTAGAAAAGTCAAAGCTGGTCAACAAATGTCCAGACCAGCTTTGTAAATGAACAATAGCTTTTAGTGAAGCCATGTACACGCACTAAACTCTCAGACATTATTCATAATGACCATATCTAACTGCTACAGACTTTGATTTCAACATTTGTGAGTTTTTATATTTTTAAATGAATACATATGTTTTTCTTTTTTAATTTGCTTTTACAGTAAATGGTCTTTACTGTAACATATATAAATAATGTATGTTACAGCATTTGTCTTTTTTATATTTTTATTACTAATAAGAATGCATTAATGGCAACCCTAAGCAGACTATCTATACTCGGACTACATTTGGAAACGAAACTAGCGGTAATCTTTCAGTTATATAGTTTGTTAGCGGTGCGTTGCTTTGGTATCATTGCTTTGGTGATTGCTGTACAGCTTATAAGAAGTTGTGCTAATGCTAACTAATGCCTACCTGCTCTGTCGCCATCTCACACACGCATATATCCGTGTCACTTCTGAGTGTTATTATAGGATGCATGGGCGGGCCAGTTGGACATGCGTCAATTGTGGGGGGGTTTAAAAAATGTATTAACGTGCGTTAACGCAATAATTTTGACAGCCCTAATAAAAAGGTAATGAAACTAATAATGGAAATGAATTTACCTGGAATTGTGCAAAAAGTGCATCAATATACATATATTGAAAATGCATCACAGCCTCTGAATTGTAATCGAATCGTAGGGTGCCCCAAGATTACCACCGTATCCCTGATATAAACTAAGTGCGGTGAGGAATAGGCTGGATCTGCTGCTGAATTATGAGCCAGTTCTGTTGGAGGATTTTCAGCCGGTAAAAACACTCACAGCCTGCAATGAATCAAACATCTCCATATGTTTGCTCTCACACTGAATCAGACAGAACCACTGAATGGATGACGCTCATGTGTGCTTCTCTGGTGGTGTAAAGCTGTTTGGATCGGACTGTGACGGCCCTAGGCCCGTAAACACGTTTACATACAGGTTCAGCGGAGCGTTATGCACAGTGCAAGGAGATGTCTTCTGTCAGCAGTGATAAATGCAGACACATCTATTTTGTGTCATAACAGCTGTAGAGAAGCAGACGACTCGCTTTGCGAAGAGACCACATCTGTTGACTGCATAGTTTTATTACTAGAGAGTTACACAGAAGGTTTAATCACTTTGTTTTCAGACACGAGGAGCATTTAGGCAGGCTATAAAAACAAAAACGAGTTTTAAACCAATCGATAAGAGTACATATAACAAAAATGTCACAAAAATGCTTTCTCCTCTCTTGCTATTTTTCAGCGAGCAATCAGCTCGTGCTTCTTTGCTACACCACTGCTCTCCTCGCCTAATTTAGCTCTCAACCCACTTATGCCAAACCTCCATCAATCAATCAAAAGTGTTCATTTCAAAACCTGTTCAACACATTTGTACAGAACAAGAAGAAACTCAGAACAGCAGGACCTTAGAATTCAATTCAATTTAACAGTAGTTAT